AACATTTTTCGTGCATAATCTTGTTAAAGCTTTGATCTTTAGTAGTTTAGAAGTAGAATTTGAGGAAAAGCCCGAGTTTGAATTTTCATAAATTTTAGGGTTTTGATTTTGGTTAAATTAGAGTGTTTGGACTGGAATTTTTTGTAAATAGATACTTGGATTATCACCCTAAACAAAACCCTAGAACGAATTTTAGATTTACATGGAGGATTTGGTTCGAATAAGAAGGTTCGTCCGCGACATGTTCATGGACTCGACGAGTCTGTTCAAGGACTCGACGAGTCTGCGTTTCAGTTTCCAGATTTTTATTCTTTTAACAAGTTCTGTGGTTTTTGTGTTTGCCTTCCTTGTGTTTGATTTGCAGAAAATGTTCAGAAACAGGGGTCAGAGCTCTAGAAGAGACCAATGGGACTTCCCTTGGTTAAACTTCGCAGAAATTGGATCCAAGGCTAATATGACTAGGTGGAAAAAGAGGCTTGAAACACTTAAGAAGAAGGAATTCTATGTACCAAATGAACTAAATTGGACGTGGATCGGGCAAGTGGGTTTGGAGGACTCTTTGAACCCATACTTAACTAAAGTCTTCATTCAAGATGGGGTGAAAATTACTTGCGGTGGCTGGAGGAGACTATTCCGGATCCAAGAACCGGTGTATCAAGAGCTTTGTTCGGAGTTCTTTGCTACTGTTTCATTTTCTAGGGGGGGCAATTATTATGACCCGAAGGCCTTGACCTTTTGTCTCGGTGGTGAATACCGGGAATGTAGCATGGCGGAGTTGGATGGAGAATGGGTATGTATGACCAATCTTTGGTTATGACGGAGGCATTTGCTATATTTTGGGATAGTAGCCATAGAGTTTTTCTAGAAGGGACAAACTTGGGACATTGGTGGACCACGATAGCAAACGGTGTATACATACCCTCCGCCGCTCAAGAAGGGAGTATTCGGTCCCCGGTCACCGCTTGATTCATCGCCTCATTGCAAGCACAATCAACATGAGGAAGGATGATGATAAGGTCCCGAGCCTTGACGTCTTTTATTTATGGAGCACTATCATGCCCAATACCTTTTGCAATATTCCATATTGCTTGGCTAGGTACTTGGGTGAGGGTGCGGTGAAGGATAGGAAAACTTCCAAGATTAATGGGGGTATGTTTGTGACTAAATTGGCGAGGTCATTCCGCATTTTGGAAAGAGGAGCCGGTAATATGCTAACTATGCTACCCACACCTCCATTTAATCATATTCTTTTTAGGAGGGAAAAAATAGTGGAAGATTATGGAGGTGGTCATTTTTCCATCCAGAATGATGATGAGGTGGTAGCGCCCGAACAACCGGGAAGGAGAGTGAGGCCGAGGCAAGAACGTGTGCATGAAGACCCCCCCCCCCCCCCCGTGATTCTGGTGGATGACGAGTTGCCCATGGATTGGTATAGTGTTGAATCAAGACAATATCAAGACGATTTGGGGCCTAGTATGAATTACAACCATAGGACACTCTCCCACTTGATGAGCCATTTGAATATACCACGAATGGATGGCCTCGAGTACCCATACGTTAGGAGTTGGGAAGAACGGGTAAATGCAAGAAGGAGTGATGCGGGTGGAAGCGGTCATGGAGGAGAAGAGGAAGAGGATGACGACTAATTATCCTTTTATTATTTTTATTTGTGTGGTTGTTTAAGACAATTTTTATTTTTGTTTGGTGTGTTTTGTTTTTTTTGTTTGCTTGGTTAATGTTTAAAACTTGTAGTTAATTAGGGTTTAAGTAGGATTTTTATTTTGTTTTCCTTGTTTATTAAGTATTGTTTGCTTTTGCTCTTTTCAGTTTTAGGAATGAGGGTATGAATGGAAGAATATAGAGTAAGGAATAGCACGAGAGAAATCGAGTCTAAAACGAGAAGATAAGAGTTTTGAGTCTGGTATCGAGTCCGACAGTTAGAGCGGTTAAAGAGTGTATTTTACTGAAGAGAAATAAGGGAGAATATTGCTTTAATACTCTCCTTAAACATCAGAAACGGACCTAAAGCAAAAAGAATTTTTGACCATACAGCGATAACTCGTCGAGTGCCATACCTGGACTCGACGAGTCCAAGTGAAAAAACGTGATTTCTGTTAACATTATGCTTCAACTCGGCGAGTCACCATATGGACTTGACGAGTTGCCATTTCTCTTACCTTCAAGTTAACGATTTGATTACATTTTATGCGGGCAATTGGTTGTATTTTTGAAGATTATTTTCCTAGCATTTCCGAGAGCTTTTTCCTAAATATTTGGAGTTGTACCACACAAGATTTGACACCCAAGGCATGGATGAGTTGTTCCCATGCCTAAAAGTCAATTGAAGATGGAGCTATAAATGAAGAATATCAACCTCACAACTAATATCCTATGGGAGTTTGTTCCAATTGACTCTTTACTTTTATGTTTTCGTTATCATGCATAACATGCAATGGGGACATTTCATGAATTAAGTGTGGGGTAGGGGGTTGGTTATATTAGTGAAACTAGGTTAAAACCCGTGGAACCCACGGGTGATAAATTAACATAACTTATATTTTAGAAATAAAAATTAAAGAAATAGCAACATAATTTCATTTGCCTAATGTTGAATGCATGATTTTATGAAAACTAAAAAATCAAATAGAAATGTAGTGCATTGTTATTTCTGACTATAAAAAGACTATTTTGGAAAAAAGAAATAAAAATCTTGACTAATAAACATCCATCCCATGTATCTTTTATATTTTAGTATCCCACTTTTAATATTAACCTTGTGTTTCCTGATAACCTCATCTTTAAAAAAGATACCTCTAATGCCACTATCTTCATATAAGCAAGGGCCTCGAAATGATAGAAGCCTAAGACAGGGGTCAAGGCAGCAAGGCAGCTAACTCTGATTTGATCTGCATTATAGAATGATAAAAATCCTTAGTACCCAGTTACAACTTTGGATAAGACTTAAGAGTATCAATAATATAACTAAACTCTGAAAACCATGGATCTCTAAAAGCCGATGAAAGAAAAGACCACAAATTATCTTCAAAATGCCAAAAAAGAGCAAATGTAGATGTGCAAATTGAATTGCAGCACACAGGAGCTATTTGTAGTAAATTTGCTTACATATCTTTGCTAAAATTTTCAATTTTCAGTGTATAAACGGAGCATCCTTCATTATGTCCTGAAATGAAATTCGATCATGGAGATATTAGTAAGAACCTTTACCAAAACTTAGACATACCGTGCATCTTGGAATGGGTAACCCCAATTCGTTTCATAAAATACATTTAAAAAATAAGAAAGGTGAACAAATTATTTTGCAGGTCATTCATTTAGTTTTTAGAAAGATTAACTAAATGGTAAAGAAATATGCTTCTTTATGCTTTATCATCAAATTTGAAACATCAACAACAATGGAAATGAGTGGAAAAAATAAGCAATTAATTAAAAAATATTATACAAACCTTTCATTGTTTGAGGGTTGATGTGATATAAGGAAGAGCACCTTCGCATCTATTGTTAAACCCCAGCTAGCTTTCATATTATGAGTAAAGTTTTTGAACTGTAATAAATTTAAATAATAGAATTTAATGTTGGATTTTAAGATGCTATCAATGAAATAAAATACAAATACATGAAGATTGGTATAAAGTACCTCAGTTGCTATGGATAATGTGTTTTACTTCCTCCCTACATTATTTTGGCCCACAATCATGTTGGAATAGAATCCTATAGATCAATATGCTTGAAGTTAATTGGTACAGGTCACATTAGATACCTTAAATGGTACTACATGAGTACATGGTGTTAATTGAGATGCCACATGATGGGTATTGTGTGAGTACCCCTTGAGTGGATCTATGATATCGTTAAAAATGATATAATATAGTATAATGTTTGCAACAGATGTTTACAAAATGTGAAGTAAATAGCAAGTTACTTGTATTGTGAAGTAATGCAAAAAAAGGGAAAGTTAGTTTTTTCAAGCTAAATAGCAACGCACCTTTTTTATATCATACAAAAACAACAAGTTATTTTGTTTTACAGTAAACAACAACGTAATTTTCATTGTCTATTTATTGTGACCTGATGCAAAGAAAATGACAAATGTTTCATGCTAAATAACAATGTTTTCCCGCACAACATAACAATGCGTCTACCTTTTTTATTTATTGTGCCCAGATGCAAAATTGGCAAGTTAGTTTCACTTTTTAATGCTAAATAGCAACATACTTTCCTTTTTCTATATTTTTGCAACCTAATGCATAATAAGGAAACTTATTTTATCTTTTCGAGCTAAATAACAACCTAGTTTCTGTCTTTTTTGTAACTAATGCAAAAAATAGGACAAGGTAGTTTCTTTTTTTCACGCTAAAAAACAATGTATTTTCCTTTTTGTATTCTTTTTTTTTGACATGATCCGAAAAGGTTTTTTTTCGTGCTAAATTGTAATGTATTTTCCTTTGTCTAGTTTTTCTTACCCAATGCAAGAATGCAAAAAATACGACTTAGTTTCTTTCTTTTTTTCTAGTTAAATAGCAATTCATTTTGTCTTTTCTATTTTTTAAGACTTGATACAAAAAGGGCAATTTAGTTTCTTTTTTCACGGTAAATAGTAACGCATTTCACCCATCATAAGTAGGGATACAGAGAGAATAGACAATTTTACCCTTCTAACCATAAGTGATGATGAACAAGAAATGATTGCTTGTCTAATAACTATTATAAACTCAAACTGCATCAAGTAAAAAAGAAACAATTGATAAAAAGTGGAAGTTTATTTTGATTATTCAAATCACAAATCATTAGTTTCAAAACATATATCTTCCAATTTGATATTTCTCATCTGCACAAAAGCTTCATCATTTTGCACATATACTGACAAAGTTAATCAACATCCATTTCTCAATTAATTAGTTTTGTATATTCTATGGTGAATATTACATCAAAACATCTAAATTAGTTTCATTTCTAAACACCATTTAAAAGCTCAATTTTCCCTACTTTGATCCCTGTTTCACACATTCTTCAGCCCTTGTAAGAGCATCTGCCAACACATCAATTGTCCAATCCTTAACATCCTCCTACAAAATAGCAACACACTTTATATTTTCACCTATAATAAGTTGATAACAATCTACTTGTATTCATTCTTCTACTGTTTATAGTAATATGATTAAGCAAACAGTTGAAGAACTTATGAAAAAAATAAGAAATGAATGTTAATGATAGAGTTTGAAGATTTACCATGTGTAGAGGCTCCCCTGTTCTTATTCGTGCATTAGGTCGAGCAAGTTTAGATTCAAATGGAGTTCTTGGTCGGACTTCTCTAAATTCTCCCCATTCCTCTCGAGAAAGCATCCTAACAGTGCCTTGACCAGGTGGAGCATTCTGTATCTTCTTCTCTATCCTTTCTTGTGATGTTGAATCATCATACTATCAATCATTGTAGAAACAAATCAATTTCTGAATTTCTAATCTGTGCTTTAGCAATTAGCAATTAGCAATCAGATCAACAATCATCCATAGAAACGATTGGAGGTTTAGGTTTCATATGCGAACACAACTGTATTTCGATCGATTATAACAAAATTAATAAACGCAAACAAATTTGTTGAAGTTGAAAGGAACGGTGTACCATCATGAGAAGCTTGGCGAAAAGTTGAAAGGAACTGTATTTCGATCGATAATGCATATATTCAATCGACAAATAAAACGATTATAAGAGACAGATTCTTAGAAAACGCATAAACCCTAGTCGATGATTCTGCTCTGATGCCAAAACATCCCATTATAATCCCTTGATACCGATAGATCATCTTTGTTTTGCGATCAATGCGTAAATCACGGCTTCAATTTGGGAGAATTTGGGAGGATTTTAATTTTGATTTTGATTTGAATTAGAGAGGAATGATTACGGAAACTACTACTTCAATACGGTATATATTACAAGTCAAAGGAAGCAGGGCAATTTCAGAAATTTAGTTAGATGATAGGAGCGGGAAAAATAGATTGGGAAGGGCTAAGAGAATGCAACGTGGCGGTTAATGTACTGTTTTATTAGAAGAGAATATTAGAATCATAATGTTAGTTAATTTTAAAATTTGTTTGCATAAAATTGCTAGGACTTAATTTAGAAAGATTTGGTATAGCAATTAGGATTCATGCTTAGTATTGTATTTGATGATTTTATGAGGGCCTAAATGTTTAGTTGAGCCAATATACGTTATAATGCATTTGTGGCCCCCTTTATCCTAGTGAAATCATGGGACAAAAACATAACCTTGCTTAGTTTGAGGGATGCAATATGTTTAGCATCGTGTACCATAAATGTATCCAGGAAAGCTTAAGTAGTCATTGCACATACAGACTAATACCTTAACCAATAAAGGATGAAGTTAAGCTCCTTGCTTAAGCATGTAGGGTTTGAGTGAAATAAAAGAGAGAGGTACATGTAAAAAAAAATAGAGAAATTACCAAAAAGTTAAAGAATTTTGGAGCAAGTAAAGTATAAAATATGAACATCAAAATTCGAAAGAGATTCAAAAAGTTGAAGATACCAAAAACCAAACAAAGAAGGTGGTGAATACAAAGAGATCAAAGATCAAATAAGTAAAGAATTCAAGAGATCCATTGTGGTATAAAACATGTAAGTTTTCTAGAATTTATGTATGCTTGGTTGTTTAACCAAAAATGACTTGAGGTTAAAAAAGTTTTTTGCGGATGGATTCGGAGGGATGCATAAAATGAGCATTGTTCAAAAGAAGCGGACGGGTGTTTATGAGGATTGTAAGTATTTAGGATTAGGGAGTCCTTAGGAAAAAAATTTAGACACAAATGCATGCGTCCCGGTCTTGGTATAATGGTTGGGTTTGATTGGGATTGTCTTATGTGATGCTAGTATGCTAAAATTCAGTTTTGCTTGGGGGCAAGCAAAAGTCAAGTGTGGGGTATTTTGATATGTGCATATTTAGTCATATATTTTGTCTAATATCTTAATACTTTTTGGCTATTTTTTCTCAAATATTGAACATAAGGTACTTAATTGTGTTAAAATTTTATTTTCAACCTAAAAGATGTGCTCGAGTTAAAAAGGAAGCGGGACTAGCGATAGGAAGTTCGGGAATTAAAGTTAGAAGAATTCAAGCTAAAAAGGTGAAGAACTCGGCAAGTTGGTCCTCAACTCGACAATTTTATGAGAAGATTCACGATCCATCAGGTGCCTTACCGTGCACGGATTTTAAGCCATGGACTCGTCGAGTCGGTCTATGGGCTCGACGACTCGCCCCTGTTTTCAGAAAACTATATAAAGGGCATTATTGCTCGAGACCCTAAGTTTTTTTGGATCTTTTTGGCGACTAATTGGTGAATAGAAGGATTTCTGGAGCTCTGGAATTCGAAGATCAACCCTAGAGATCAATTTGGAAGAGATCAAAGGCAAAACACATTCTCTTTTCGTAATCTTTTGCATACAATTATGTTTCTATTATTGGATTTCGTTTTTGAGATGCTAGGTGTTATAGATATGAGCTAAAAACTCATCACTTTTGTTTAGGGTAGATTAACTTATGATTATGGTTTGATTTTATGTTTGGGATTACTTTTGATTTGGTAAATTGCCTTGCAAGCTTGTTAAAGACCCTTATGTGTTGATAACAATTTTTACTGTTAAAAATCAAGTTGTTGAGATTGCATGAACATCTTCTTAATTACTTGAATCATATAATTTTGTGAACACAATATTGTATGCCTAGTATTAGTGAGCATGAACCTAGGATTAACTAGAAAATAAGTACATCAATGTGTAAGCATGTATGATGAACAACCATACATGAGTTGATTAATTTAACCAACATTACAAGTCTTACTTGATTCGAATCAAAATACTAGGAAACTTATTAGTTTAACCAACTTGACACTGTTTGAATTAATTTGTTTACTAAGGATTAGTAATAGTGAACATGAATCTAATCACTTCCGCAACTGAATATTCTCCAAAGGTACAACTACGAAATCATCCACTAAACACTTCCGCAGCTGAGAGACATGAAATGTGTTGTGAATCTGACTGAGCTCGGCTGGAAGATCTAAACGATACGCAACCCAGTCCACCCGAGACAAAAACTTGAAGGGACCAATATACCTAGGGCCCAGCTTTCCCCGCTTCCTGAACCGGATGACACCTTTCCAAGGTGACACCTTCAAGAGAACCATATCTCCTATATGAAACTCCAAATCTGACTGGCACCTGTCAACATAACTTTTCTGCCGACTCTGAGCTGTCTGGAGCCTGCTCCGAACGTGCTGTAACAACTCAGTGGTCTTGAGCACCACCCCGGTACTCCCCATGGTGATGAAATGCGTACTCTTGGTCAAACGATCCACAATGACCCACATAGAATCCACTCTGCGCGCGGTCCTAGAAGCTTCGTGATGAAATCCATGGTGATATCTTCCCATTTTCATACGGGAGTCTCCAACGGCTACAACTTGTCGTGAGGTCGCTGATGTTCGGCCTTGACCTTCCTGCAGGTCAAGCACCGCTCCACATACCATGCTACGTCCCGCTTCATGCATGGCCACCAATAATTAGGACGAACATCCCTATACATATTCGTCGCCCGAGGATGGATGGAGAACCTCGACTTGTGGGCCTCCTCCATCAGAACCTGACATACACCGCCCCAATAAGGAACCCAGACCCTCCGATGCAGGGTCGACAATCTGCGGCTATCAAAATCGAAGGAAGCCACCTGACCTACAATGTGCTCACTCTTTCGGTGCTCTTCCTTCATAGCCTCGACCCGAGCCTCGCGGATCTGCTCCAACAATGGAGTAATCATTGTTATCCTCAAGCATATATCTCTGATCGGAATCGCGACCGCCTTGCGGATGTGAGCATCGGCCACCACATTGGCCTTCCCTGGGTGATAAAGGATTTCACAATCATAATCCTTCACCACATCCAACCAACGACGCTGCCGTATATTTAAGTTCGACTGATCCATCAAATACCTCAGGCTCTTGTGGTCCGTGTAAATAGTACAACGAACCCCATAGAGGTAATGTCGCCAAATATTGAGGGCAAAAACAACGACCCCCAACTCCAAAATGTGTGTCGGGTTGTTCGCCTCATGAGGCTTCAGCTGTATCGAAGCGTAAGCGGTCACTCGACCCCGCTGCATCAACACTGCACCCAAACCCGTGATCGAGGCATCACAATAAACCACAAAATCATCAACACCCTCGGGTAGGGTCAGAATCGGCGCCTCGCACAACCGCTGTCTAAGAGTCTCAAAAGCTGCCTTTTGCTCAGGCCCCCAATGAAATGTCACCGACTTTTTGGTCAATAGGGTCAATGGAACAACGATCTTGGAGAAATCCTGGATGAATCTTCGTTAGTAACCCGCTAGACCAAGAAAACTCTGAATCTCAGATGGAGACCTCAGAACCTCCCACTGCATCACGACGTCAACGTTGGCCGGGTCGACCAGAATACCTTTATGGTTGACAAGGTGCCCCAGAAACTGTACCTTGTGTAATAGAACTCGCATTTGGAGAACTTTTCAAAAAGTCTCTCCCTCCTCTGTAACACCCCAAATTTCAATTGTTCAATGAAGGGCCAAAAGTGTAAATTTAGGAAAGGGACTCGACGAGTAGGTCCGCTTACTCGCGGAGTCGGAGCAGGATTCTATCACGGTTTAAGTGGCCAACTCGCCGAGTCGGCGGCTTGGACTCGACGAGTTGGTGCTGAAGAGAGAAAACCCTAATCCCGGGGGTTGTGCCCTATATAAAGCACATTATAACCCACCCTCAGCCTCTTTACTACCCTTTTGAGATCCAGAAACCCTAGAATCGAGTGAGCTTCCATTGATACAGAGAATAGAGCTTTGGAGGAGAAAATCTTGGAAAGGGGCTTGAAGATCAAGAGGTTTGCTGCTAAGGAGTGGTGTAGATCCGGGATCTACTTCAGTTGGAGCTTATATTGGAGGTAATAATTTGTTGCTTGGGCTCTTTTGCATCTAGATCTATTATCATTTGAGATTTGGGGCATTTTTGGTATGATTGAGAGCTATTTCGAGTTAGAGGCTTAGATCTGAGGTTTCTACTTCAGATCTAGGCTTGTGATGGTCCAAAATGTCATAAAGCTTATGTCTAAGAGTTGTTGGTAAAGCCCCTTTGTCATGAACCCTAGCTCTAGAGTGTTTTGGGCCTATATCTCCTTGGTTTCACGTAAACTTTGCAACTTTATGTAAGGGTTAGAATGTAGAAGAGTGGATCTATGGATTGGAGCCCCTACATGGCTCGAAAAGCCTCTGTATGGGTTGAGAACTGGAGAGACTCGACGAGTCACATGGGTGTACTCGACGAGTTGTATGAACATGTGCATGGACTCGGCGAGTTGAAGAATAACTCGGTGAGTCTGTTGAAGATTGCCTTGGACTCGGCGAGTTTGCTCTTGGACTCGGCGAGTCAGGTCGCAGAACCCCTAACCTCTCCTGGTTAAGACGCAGATCAGTGAGTCGAGGGGTGACTCAGTGAGTTGGACAGATTGGGACTCGGAGATCGTTGGACTCGACGAGTCTTGGGGTGACTCGGCGAGTTGAGTCGTGTTCTAAGAGTTTTCAGAGTATAAGGACTCGATGAGTCAACGGGTTGACTCGGCGAGTAGGGTCAGTCAGGAAGTTTGACTTT